GTCCCGTTATTTGCATCGCATGATAAGCGCCGAAATACCGGCAAGAGTAGTGCAAGCATTTATCAATTCAGGCATCCTGCCTATGCTCATTTATGCAAGTCCAGTCATTTTTCTAGACATGGGCGAATATTATCTTACGCTGATGCATCCGACATTCGAAATTTTGTCAGATCAGGTAGTCGATATCGAGATCAAAGATACACTGCGGTTCGCTGGAAAGACCTTAAATGATGTCAGTCATTCACTGAATGCCTCATTATCCAGATGCCTCTCACTACGAACTGGCACAAGATAAAAATATCGATGAAAACTCGCCAGTGCAGAACTGTACAGAAAAAGGGTCGTTCCATTCATGGCGCGCTGCTTAATCATGTTCCGGAGAGGTGAATTTTTCACCAAATTATGCTAAAAGGATTATCCATGTATAACTATCTTTCAAACAGCAGACTAAGTTCAATTTAAATAGATGCTCCTTCGACATCCTCCAATTTCCGCTTTTTGCCTCCATCGCTGATGAAGTAATTTTACCATCGGATCATCTCAGCACATTCATGGGCTACCGACTCGAAGTTTATGGTCCAGCCGAAACTAGTTTATAATTCTTGGCTTTAGACAGCTCTCTCATGGCGAGCCATATGGTTGGATAATCTCCTCTTGGCGTCGTAGAAGACAGAAATCATGTATTAATCCAGCCCGCTTCGAAGTTATTCGCTGGGAACGTGATCAAGGAGGAAGACAATTGGTATTTTTAACTCAGTCGCTATTTGAGTGATTATCAGTTTGGTCACCTCGGCTTTGGTAGAAAATCAGTGTTCAGTGCCGTAGATCATGGCGAGTAGCAAGGTTAAATCAATCAGTTTTTTCTTCGCCCGCATGGACAGCTCACTGTCGAGTAATGATGCTTTAATACGATTAAAGTTGATCGTCGCCAGGGGCCCGTATTTTACGAAACAAATATGATCTGATTTGTCGAATAACTACTTTTTGGAAAGAACGAAAGAGAGCAGGAAAGTTGCCCTTAAGAGCATGTAGCCGGTTTCTAACTTTGCGTTACAACTGCTCATTACACTGCTGTCAGCAAATAGACTGGTCAAGGCGAACTGCAGCCTTAAGATGTTCGCAGTTAGGCAACATGGCCACATATTTCGCACATTCTGAAATGGCCACGCCAGGACACCATAGTGTCTCCATTATTTTCAAGCCAAAAATTTGCTGGCAGCTTCTCAGTTGGTTGCATCAAAATAAAATATTATAATTCCTTCCTCAAGAGAATCAGCAGTTAAACGTTTTTTGCTGCATTTGAATTCTAAATCTCTGAAATTCAAAGTTGAGCTCTTTAATGTGTCATTGCTTATCTGCTCGTACTGTTGTGTTGTCGCGGTCAGTTCACAAAAGCCAACTCGGTTATCATTCAACTTTCATGTTTTCTGTTGTAACTTGCCTTGTTTTTATTTCATGGCTGGTTATTACCTTAAATCATTCAAGATATGTTAAATAAACCAAATTACAGTCTCTCCGTACCTCGCAGCCATCCTTTCTTTATGGAAACTGGATATCGGTCATTCAAGTACGAGATGGTACTACACATCCTTCATAAATGCATTACTCTACTGCAGCGCCTGCTAGAGCTTTTACCAAAAGTTTCAGCTCCTTATTAGCACAAAAGCTTCATTAATTGGATTCGAATGCGCGTACCCGCAAAATATTCAGTATATTTAAGCCGTCTAGCCTCAGAAGTGCAATTTCGTCGCCTTTCACGTGACCGGGAAAAATTTGTCCTGAGAGAATCCTTTGAAATTCCACAACTGTCGGTTCCAAACATAGATGAGAACAGAGGAGGGATGAAGATCGTGGTGACGTCTCCGTAAAAGTTAGCTACCTGCCTTCATTGGTATCGCCGACATCGAAAATTATACCGGCTCGGTCGTCGTCCGGGCTACCATGGGCCGTACAGGCTGTTGGGAGACTAAGGCAGGATGCGAAAAGTCGGCCATTAGAACCTGTTGATTGCCTTCTGGCAGCCGGGGGCGTAGCATAAAAACGATGGCTGACGAAGATCGACGAAACGACGATGAAGATACCAATCAGCCGCGGAGTCGTTACCCGCTCTGAACGGAGGAGGCAGACAGCGCGATGTCACAGCAGTGCGTCAGAAACGGCTGCACGAGAACGACAACCGCCAGTAGGATCTTACAGTCGGAAAATGGAATATATCCTTACACAGGGAAATGGCGGGAGCTAGCTCATGAGGCCGCAAGGTATGAACTTAACACAGTTAGACACTCGTCAATGAAGCGCCAAAGCTGTAGAACCCTGAACCTCTGTGGGTGGAAGCTATTCTACTCTGGGTCAGCATCACGCCGCGAGATTAGGCCAGTGTTGGTGTTCCGGCACAACCCAACCTCGCTGATAGAATCAGTGAATGGAAACATGTCATCTGAAGAGTCGCAATCCTCTGACTGAAACTAAAACAAGCTAAAGCGTTTACCATGTTACGAGTCTATGTGCTCAATCTAGAGGGAGAATGATTCCTTCTTTGAGGAACTGCAGTGTGACGTGTACGAAGTTCCGACGACGGAATCCCTCATTCTAAACGGACATTTTAATGCGCAGGTTAGAACGACACTGAAAAGTGGAAAGATTGATTGAAAAAAACCACCCTAATGGCCTCAATAAAAACGGCATGAAGTTGCTACGGTTTTGTGGAAGCAACGGATCGTTTATTATGAAAACCATCTTTGAACATCGAAGCGTTCATCAGTATATTTGGACCTGCTGCAGAGAAGTCGATGATTTATATGACAATCCAATCGTGTGGCTTAAGACGCTATGTAATAGATGTTTGAGTTAAGAGAGGCGCAGAGCTATCAACCAATCACCACCTTGTTTGGCATGCTACGCTGTAAGAAATGCATTGCGATACGAAGATCTGGTGGCAGAAGCAACCAGAGAATCAAATGGGAAACACTGTCTTCGGTGGACACGAGCGCGAAATTTGCAAACAACGTCGCACGACAGTTTGAACAGATCCCAGTGATGACAAGTGATGTTGAAATCGAGTGGCAGCTGTTTAGGAGAGGCCTACTCGAGGCTGCCCCAGAATGCTGCGGGTTCGCCTGCTGCTTGGAGATCAGAAAAAATCTTCTGTGGTAGATGCGAGAGGTACAACTGGCAGTTAAAGAGAAAAAGGCAGCGTTCAAGAAATGGCTTGGAAACAAAGAGTCTTCTACTCGCGTGCGATATGTCAAGGCACGCAAGGCGGCAGCGACAGCAGTGGCGCCAAAGCTGATTCCTGGGAGAAGTTCGGTGAGGTGTAGAATTTGCAGTAGAGTTGGAGCAGAATTTCCAGACGGCAAACATAGTATTCTGGAAGATCATCCGCCTGCTCCGAGGTAAAAGAAAGACAGTCTAAGAGTCTTGAAGAACAGGTCTGGGCACCCTCTTACTGAGGGTAAAGACATTCCTCAGCGATTAAGAGAGTACTCAGAGGAACTCCTTAACCCCGAGCAGCAGCAGGATAACTCGCATGTAGAGCAGCATGGAACGTATATTACTATTTCTGTAGATGAAATTAAACAATCTGTGAAAAGCATGCAAAGAGGAACGGCTGCTGGAATTGATCATCCGGCCTGAAATGCTCAAAGCATTAGATGAACAAGGTATGTGATGACTTATACGTGTTTGTATATAACTGCAACGGCTACGAGAAAGATACCAGAGGACTGGAAACGGGGTTAGTTTTACCCATCTTCATGAAGGGTGACCACAGGGAGTTCTCCACTTACCGGAACATTAGCCTATTGAAATTCGCGGAAAACGTCTACGCAAAGGAGTTAAAAATGAGGTGTTGCGAAAAGAAAGACTTTAAGATGCAAGAAAATGTGTGTGGCTCCTGGCCCGGTCCAAGTACCTCTGACCTTATATACGTCCTACACTACTGAGAAATCGTGGAAGTTCGCTAATCCGGTGTACGTGTGCTTTGTTGACCTAGGAAAAGCCTTTGGGCGGATCTCGCGCAATAGTCTGTGGTCATGCCTGCCACCATATGGAATTGATGGCCTGCTGCTACCTGCCATCCAATTACTGTATTCTTATAGCAGGTGCGGCGTCAGAGTAATGGCGTTAAGTCGAAGTCTTTCAGTGTTGGCACTGGTCTCCGCCAAGAAAGACTGTTGTGCTGTACATTGACAGAATGTCTGAAGCAGAAAAGGCGATGAGTGTGTTGGTATAGGAGATGTGTAGACGAGAAGGTTGCTGTCTGCAGACGACTTGATCTACTGTGCACTCTGGAAAGGAACCGAGAGCTGCGTGGCCAGCATGCTTGTTAACTTATCTAAAACGAGAAGAGTACTGCGTTTTCGTTCTCCTGCCTGTTGCTCTCTTTGGACAAACGGAGAAGCAATGGCGCAGGTGGGGAAGTTTAAGTACTTCTGGGTCGTGTTTACTGGTGAAGGAAAGTTGGAGGAAGAGATCGGCCGATCGATTGGAGTAGCCAGTGGCGTTTTGCGTGTACTAGCCCGAACGGTTGTGACTAAAGCAGAGCTGAATTTGAAAACTAAACTCTCGGTGTTCAAGTTGATCTTCTTGCTAATACCTATCTACGGTCATAAGTTGTGGATCAGTGCCAGTGCTGAAAGGTTTCGACTTAACGCATTTACTCCGCCGCAGAACCTGTTATCAATATGTAGTGATTGGAGAGCCCGTAGCAACAGGACGTCGATCACAGATGATTGCAGGCAGACCCATAGATTGTTGCCTTGGGATCTGGTAATAGGCTTTGCACAGGTCTACGAAGCACGTGTACACCGGATGTGCAAACTCGCACGATTTCTTAACAATCTGGCGTAGGATGAATATCTGGTCAGATGTTCTTCAGTGATACCGGAAGCCATGTTGCTCTTCTTGCATGCTGGAGTCAAAGTTTTCAAGACACTTTTTTCTAGTACCACTGCGTAAACTTTACTCGGGAGGCTCAGTAATGCTCCAATAAATAGACCACTCACTATAGTCTCCTTTCTTGAACAGGGGTATTACAGGCCCGTTCCTCAGTCCGCTCGTATCTTCCCCGCTGCCACTGCAGTTTGATTGACATCGGTAAGCTAACAAATGCACTGTTCGCCTAATGCTTTGAACATTTCGGGGCGTATTTCGTCTGTTCCAGCAGCATTTTTACTTTTTAACCTTTATACTACCCTTGTGATTTCATGTACTGAAATAGTAACATCTGCTCCAAACTGCTCTACAGGCAAGTCTTCCTGCGGTTGCTCAGGGTTAAGGAGTTCCTCAAAGTACTCGCTCCAACGCCAAAGAATGTCCTTATCCTTGGTAAGAGGGTGTCCAGTCCTGTCATTCAAGACTCTTAGACTGCCCTTCCTTTCCCCTCGGAGCCGGCGAAGAGTATTTCAGAATATCTTGTTTGCCGTGTAGAAATTCGACTCCAAAACCTCACCGAACTTCTTCCAGCAATCAGCGTTGGCTTTCGCTACAGTTTTCACTGTCGCCTTGCGCGCGAGTAGAAGGCTCTTCGCTTCCAAGCCATTAACTGTCTGTCGTACCTCTTATGTCCACCAGGAAGCTCTTATCTGACCTCCAGGAGGCAGGCCGACCCGTTTCAAGCCGAAATATTCAGCGGCAGTCCAGTTTCGCCAAAGATAATGTATTCCATTTGATTCTCTGGTTGCTGCTGCAGCAAGGTCTTCGCATGGTGTTTCCTGTATAACAGCGCAGTGTGCCTACAACAATGTGACGATCATTTGACAGTTCTGCGCTTGAATGTCGCAAATTGATATTAAACTTCTGATCATTTTGTGAATCACTCTTAAGGTAGGATATTTAAATACCTTTAGGTTCCTTATCTGATTCAGCAATGTCCGCTGCTTTAGCTTTGTAGGTGGCGATCGTAAAGTTTCGAAAAATTGCAGGATGAAACTTGTGGCAATTTACTCGGAGGTCTTTTCCATGAATGCCTAACGTCACTTCAACGTCTTTGACTTCCTTCAGAATAAACGCCAGCAACGAAACAGCAGCATTTGCAGCAACATTCATGAGAATTTCGTCCAACATCAGCTGCATGCACCCTAAGCATTGTTTAGTTGAACAAGCTTCGAGACTGCTGACCTGCAATCCCTAAATAATTATAGTTTGCGTCACATCAGCTGATGCCTCAGCGTTCTGTCACCGTTATATTTCCTGAACTTTCGGGTTCCACTGAAGGACTTAGATTTTCACCTAATTCTGAGAAACGCAGAAATTCGTCCAAAGTTGTTCTTAGATCAGATGATCTCTGAATAGGTTCAGCCGGCGCTTTTATACTGTTCGCTCTTCTGATTCGATTGCTTGAAGAGCACTAAATATGTAACATATAAAGTCGTGAACACTTTGTATAATATCACAGTAATATCACAATTGTTGACAAATTTTCTACAAGCATGTACTAATTTACTCTTCCCCTGCTACCTCAAAGCGGTAGGAGGATGACAACGGATTCATAGGACGATGCACAGTTCAGTTCGTAGATCTCTGCACATTCAACCATGCAATGAGAAGTTCAGAAAAACACTAGGTCAAGTTGAAGAGGTAACACTCCCCAATTCACCTAGCCAGCGTGGAGAGTCATGGTGAAGTTCGGCAACTGAAAGTTCGGCACTCATGCCCCCGAGACTAGATTCCCGTTGGTGGAGGTAGCTATAGGTCATGCATGAAGACGGAGATTTTCAAGAATACCCGAGTAACGCATCAGAGCTGCTACGGTAAATTAACGTTAACGATGTACAACTGCAGATTGCTTCTAGGAGAAGCAAGGTTTCAAAAAGAGAAACAAATAGTAGTAAAATCAGACAAGATATAGTTTAAATCAGGGTGATTAAGCAAATGACAAGAGGCTATGAGAAGTTAAAGACTGATGCCCCTTTTTCTATAAAGGATGATGGTGGATGAATCGGCGAAGAGAAAAATAGGGGAATGGGATTCATCATCCACAGGCGGATAAAGAATAGTGTAGTACAAGTGAATATAGCATATCAGAAAGGTGCTTGCTTGTCCCCTTCGAGAATTTCAGTGACATTTGAACTCCAGGTGAACAAGTGCATGCGCCGATTTCATTCAGTCGTGATAATGAGGTCAAAGAACTTAATGAATGAACATAATAATGCATGAGCGTGCAAAGATTGATTGAAAGTTAATCTTTAACGATTTCAACGTCAAAGTCAGACTCTGACGAGAATGAGAATAACCTACAGGTCAATTTGTATAATTTGGATACGGCAAACGGAATGTCAGAAGTGAAGTAATTAGTGAAATTAGTGAAAG